GGGTAGGTGTAATTAAATCTTTTTGGCTTAAAACTTTTTAATGCTTTCCTAATGCCTTCAGGATAAAAATCCTTAACTTCTTCATATGGAAAGCCATATAATAAGGTGTACATTTGTCTCAATAGACTCCCATCCTTCCTGTATTTACTTCTCCCTTTTTATCTCTCCCTGAGCCATAAGAAACTATCCATCACTGTTTTTCTAGAGAAGTTCTGACTTGTCATTGTCCATTTTAAGCTTGAATGCAGCATTCCAGATGTCATATTATTGATATTAAGTAGACAAAAACTGTCTTCTAACTTCTTTACTGAGATTATGGTAATTTTTATTTCACATAATACCTTTTTTTAAGTGTGTCTGTATATTCACACTAATACTGAACCTCAAAGAGCTTTTATTAAGCCCAGTTTTAATTTTTTGCTATGTCAAATCAAATTAAGTAGTAGGATGCATCTATTCACTACCACCACAATACCTAATCAGGTAGCCATTTGATCTCTTCAGTGCTTATGATGATGCATTTTATTTCAGCTAGGAAGTCTTAGTGTTCATACTGACCAGTCACCCAGATCACTAGATGGTATATATTTCTTTTTTTCAAAACTAGCTAGCCAGTTTGGAGGTAAAACAGTTGTTTCTCTTCTTGTCAGTCCTTCACCTCCTTATCCCCAAGGGAATCAAGATGTCTCACCTTATTTTTAAAAGCCTAAATACTTCAAACTTTTATTCTCCTGTTGGATTTGAAAGGGAGGCTTATTAGCTCTATCTTGATATAGCAGGAGCTCTGAAAGTCTATTTGGTTAACACTGAAGATTGGAGGAAATGTGACTCTGTCTGTGTGTTTTAAGCCCCTAAGGTAAGATCAGAAAGCGTCTGGGGCAGTGAGAGCCAAATAGTTGAAGTCATACATTAATTATGGTCATGAATCATTTTTATTTTTAAAGTCTTTACCATTTGACAAGGTTGTTTGCATAGTACAAGTGAAGTTTTAGGCAGCACTTTCTCCATTTTAAAGCAACAGGCTTATTTTATTGATTTCTTCTATAAGTTGATAATACTTATACTTTTTAGTAAAAATTGCTTATTTCCTTACCTGAATGAAGTTATGCATGTAAAAAATCACACTGATCTTTAAGTTAATCTCCCGCTGTATCAACAGAGAATACTAAATCTCCGGGCTGTGCTTTTATACTTAGACATTAGACATTTAATAGCAAATATAATTTGAGTGCCTCCTTTGTGCTGATTTCTGTACTGAACATTTAGAATATATATGAGAAGATGAGATTTTTGTTTTTTTTCTCAGATGTTTAAGGAAATAGACAAGGGAATAAATACTTGCTGTAAAATGTGGTTTTATGATACTGTTTGTTGTGGTATCACAACCACAGAGGGAAAGAGTGCCTCTACCTTGTCTGGGATAGGCAGGAAAGGATTTTATAGAAGTGGCAATGATCGAGCTTCATCTTAACGAATTAGGAATTTATTTACCTGTTAAGAGCTAGGTGAACTAATAGACGTAACAGCTCATACACAGGTGCAGAAGCAAGAAATAGCATGATATGTTTGGGCAATTGCCAGGGTACACAGTAAAATATATCAAGAGCCTGGATGTGGTGGTACACACAGGTAATCCCTCATGGGGCTGAGGCAGGAAGATTGCAAGTTCAAGACCAGCCTGAGCAACTTAGTGTGACTGTTTCAAAAATTGAAAAGGACTGTGTATGTAACTTAGTGGTAGAGCACTTGTCTGGACTGTACAAGGCCCTGAGTTCAATCCCTAGCAACACATGCACACAACAGGAATATCAGGAAGTGAGGCTGGGACCATATTACAAAAGGCCCCTTGCTTTAAATTTTTTTAGTGATGCCTTTGAAAGAGATTATTAGTATCACAGCAGATAAAATACATATGCACACCCAAAGGAAGAGTCACTAGAACTGGAGTATAATCTTTCCTATTGAATGTCTTATGAGTTCTGAGGAAGTTGTTGAATTAAAGATCTCATGAGCAAAATAGCTGTAAGTGGGAGTTAGCCCCTTTTAGGTGACTTAAGAAATCCTCAATAACTATCAAGCAATTTCCAAAAGTGTGGAATATGGCAGGTAATATTTTTAGTGTGTTATGTCGTAGTAATGTTGGCAGAGGTATTGGTGGCATCAAATCCTTAATAAAATGGACCTCTCATATATAGTATATGATGACTTCCACATTAGGATTGATACCTAATTTTTTAAAACAAAAATAAAATTTACATCAAATGAAATGTGCAGATTATAAGTGTCAATTCTGTGAGTTTTAGTGTATCCTTTAACCCCGTCAAGACATAGGACATTTCCATCATCTCAGTTCCTTTATTCCACTGTTCATCATTCAGTCCCCATCTCACACAGGCAACTAGTCACTCTTGATCTGTCAGCATAGATTTTTTTTTTAATTTTAAAGAGAAAAAAAAAATAACAACTACTAAGACAAAAATAAAACAACACAAAAACAATAAAAATGATACAGAATTTCTATACTTGAACTTTGTATAAAAGGAATCATACAACGTGTACTTTTTTGTTTCTGCTTTTTTCTCACTCAGTGTGTTTTTGAGATTTGTCTATATTTTCTTTCGTGTGTCAGTATTGCATTTTTATTGCTGAGTAGACTGTCAGTATAAGAATATACTTCAGTTGGCTTAGACATTTGGATTTTTTTCTGTGAATATTATTATACAAATCTTCTTGTGGACATATGTTGCCCCTGCTCCTTGAGTAAATACCTAGCAGTCAAATTGCTGGGCCATAGGTTAGATGTATGTTTAACTTTATAAACAATAATTTTTCAAAATAATAGTATATTTAACTCTTTCACCAGCAATACATGTAAGTTCCAGTTGCTCCACAACCTTGTTAGCATTTAGTGTTGTCATTGTAATTTTAGGTCTTCTAACCTATGTGAAATGGTATCATTTATGATTTTAATTTGCATTTGCTTGATGACTAAGATGTCAAACACATTTTCCCATGCTTATTGGTAATTTTAGTGCTTCTTTTATGCAATATTTATCTTAGTCTCTTTTTCATTTTTATTTTGTTACTGATATATGAGACTTTTTAATATATTCCAGACAGTACTTTGTCAGATAGATGATTTGCAAATATTTTCTATAATCTGTGGACTGTCTTTTCATTTTCTTAATGAGATGTTTAAATGATCAGACACAATTTTGGTAAAGTCTAATTTACCCACTTAAAATTTTATGATGAGTTCTTTTTTATGTATTCTCAAGTAAATACTTGCCTCCTCCAAGATTATAAGAGGTTCTTCTATATTTTCTACTAAAACTTTTATGATTTTGGCTTCCATATTTACTGTGATCTTCCTAGGGTGTGTGTGTGCGTGCGTGTGTTGTGAGGTAGAGAACAAAATTCTGCCCCCAGGTTTATTCAACATTTCCATACTTCGTTTAAAAAACTTGTTTTCTTTACTAATTTGCTTCAGTTCCTCTGTTAAAATCAGTCTGCCATATATAGAGAGATCTAGTAATATACTCTTGATTGGTTCTTTTGATCTGTTTTTGTTTGTTTGATTGATTTGTGAGATGGGGATCTCACTTCTTTGTCTAAGCTGGCCTTGACCTCTATACTTAACTCGTCCTCCTTCAGCCTTCTGAGTGGCTGAGAGTAGTTTGATCACTTGTTTGATCTATTTTTTTTTAAATCCTTAAGGCAGTCCCATATTATTTTGATTATGTAACCTTGTAGAAAGCCTTGAAGCATGACAGATGTCTATTGGTTTATCACTGACAGATTCTTTACTCTTCACTAAATCATGTCAGTGAGGCCTTGGTATCAGCTTCTTAAGTTCTACAAAAAATAAAGCGTGCTGGGGTTTTGATTGGGTTTATGCAGTTGTTGATGCATTTGAGAAAAACTGGTGTTGTACTGAATCCCCGGATCCATGCATGTGATATGTTTCCATTTATTTAGCTTTTTAAAATTGTAGCAGTGTTTTGTAATTTCAGTGTTGGGTCTTGCGGTCTTTTGTTCATTTTATTCCCATGTATGGATTTTTTTTTTAGATACAGTTGTAAAAGTGTTGTTTTTTAAATTTCATATCCTAATTTTTTATGGCTAATACTGTATGTAGAAATATAATTGATTTATTTGTAGATTGATTTTGTATCCTATGACCTTGCTAAATTCACTTATTAGTTCTGGTACATGGTTGTTTTATAGATTTCTGAAAATTTTCCACATGACAATTATATAATCTATGAATAAAGACAGTTTGACTGTATTTTGGTATGGCAATATATGCACTATATTTAAAGACACACCTACACAAAAAGCACAAAACCATGACTGAAGGAAAAAAGAAAAGTAGCTGTTTATTTTTTTCAGTGTTCCTTGAAGAGTCTACACTAAGAATATAGTAACTATTTAGACCTTTGCCTGGTGTTTTAGTGCTGTTACTTTGTCTTTTATACCTTGGGAAAAAAATCACTTTTGGAGTTTTAACCGCTTTGATTCAAGCTGCTTAGCTGGAGTGCTTAACTCATTAAGATTGTGAGTTGTTGTGAATGATCGTGAATTGTTTTTTTCTTTATAAATACCCATATATCATTGTCAGCCTCCATAACAAGTACTTTCTTTGTAACTGGAAATCTATTTGATTTCTCTCCTTCTCATTTCCTACATGTGTAGAGTAATAGCATTTGACCAGATTATTTTCTAAGGCCTCTTCTAGACTCTTGTGAGTTCTTCCTTCTAGTTGTGAATACATCAGAAGCTGGCAGGCAGGTAGGTATAGAAAGGGTGTTTTAGAATGTTATTGTTTTAGGATTTACTGTAATCAGTAATATTTCATTGTAAATATGAACTGAGAAATAATCATTTTGGGTTCATTAGTAATTCTGTCTATCTTGGAAGGTTGATCATTCATATCTGTGCCTCTGTGTTTAGAGTTTATTATTAACTTACTTAAATTTTTCTACAACTTGTATTTTCAGGCTTCATAGAGCCCAGTGTGCAATTAAACAGACTCAGGTAACTGTTCAGAAAATTGGAAAGGAAATTGAAGAAAAACTAAGACTCAAGTCTACAAGCAATGAGCTGGTAGGTTTTTATATATTTATCTGTTTAGACTTCCTGTTTTCTTAAAGGGATTATCATTTTCTTCTTGAATTAATCCTTTTTTTTTTCCCAAAAAAATTTAGGTAGTTGTTATTGTTACTATTTTTCTTATTGTTTCACTACAGTATCTTGTGAAATGTGAATTTTGAAAATGACCTTTCCTCTACTAGTAGGGTAACATACAAAGTGCCTGCCTTGTTCTGTTAGATGAAACTTCAGATTGCATGAAGTTACTTAGAAGATAATTAACAGGCTGTTTTATTAATGTCTTATATATGTGAATTCTAAACATTATCTGTGTAGTGAATGAAAAATAGCTGCCAAGAGAAAAAAATAAGCTATAGGGACTAATCTACTTTTAAAAGTTGAATTAAAGAATTATTTCAATTGAGCATAATAGGCTAGTTTGTAGACAGTGTTCTCTTTTGGGAAATAGTCTTTTCATGAGTTATTTCTGAAGAAATAGAAATCCCAAGCCAAATGAGCATATTTAAGATATTAATATAATGTAGGGTTACTTTATCCTCTTCCTAGTAAAGAAAAAAATTTGTCCATTTTGGAATGAAGCTTCTGTCTTTGTAAGTAGAATAGTGAATATGACTAATAAATTGAATTTTTTAAAAGAAGCATAGCTGTGAATAGCTTTAGCTTGAGCTACAAATTGTTATCAACTTGGCAGAGGGCCTTTACATCCACAAACAAAAGAAAAGGGTTTATTGAAGATAATTTAAGAAATATAGAAAAGCAACAATGTAATTAACCTATACAGATTTCTTTCTCATGGAATTTGAAATTAATATATTAGTTCAAACTGTTCTGATTTTGGCCTATAAGTGGCAATTTCACATAGTTTGACATAATGTATAAAATAGTCCTGTACCTGGCACCTATTGGGCATATAGAATATGGTAGCTGCAGTAAGCACAGCAATAATTCTTCTCTTCACATGGTTTTCTTTGTCTATGGAAAAACCCTTTTTTAAAATTGTTAAACCACCCATTGTAACTTAGTACCATAAAAGAGTAAATTCCAAACCATAAATATGTTGAAGGGAAGGAAAAAATAACTAAGTTTAATCCTTTCTGTAGTGCACAAAAATGCTGCATTTTTAGAATGTTTATCCGGGGAGAGATTGTTAGGTTTTATTTTTCTGATTTTCCTCTCCTAAGGCAAGACTGGGAAATTACTTGTTTCATTATGTGACAGCATATGCTTTGTCTCAGTATGGAAAAATGTATGTTTAATCCTGTTTTTCTAAAATGTAAGTGGTGACACACAAAGTAAGGTGATCGCATGTCTGCATTTAAAGAGGTCAAGTTCAGATGTTCACTGTGTGTGTTTATGTTGTATAGTCAACACAGAAGAAAATCACTGGAGTTTTGAACTGAAAGTGACCCTAGAAATCTTCTCGTTTCCTAATAACCCTGTTGAAAACCACACTCCATTCCCTCTCCTCCTTAATTTTTCTCCTTAGTATTTATTGCCGTTTGGGTTAGCTTTCTAGCACTGTGATGAAATACCTGAACTAAACAACTTAAAAAGTGGAAAGATTTATGTTGACTCAGTTTCAGAGGTTTCAGGTCATGGCTGCTTGGCCCTATTGCTTTGGGTTGTGGAAAGGCAGATATCATGGTAGGGAGCACATGGTGAAGAGTTTAGTCCTGGTGGCCAGGAGAGGGGAAGCACGGAGGGAGAGAAAAAGCAATGAAGGAAGGAAGTTAGGTGAGGTCCACCATCCCCTTCAAGGGCATGACCCAGAGATTTAATTCCTTCTCTTAGGCCCTACCTGCTAAAAGTTCCTCCACCTCCAATAGTGCCAATGCAGGTGACCAAGACTTTGACTTTAAGACATGGACCTTTAGGGAATGTTGAAGACCCATTCCATGACACCATTTGTACTAATCAGCTTTCCTATTGCTGGACACAATACTCAATTCCCACAGCTTAAAGAAGAAGATGTTTAATTTGGCTCACAATTTCAGTCCATAGTCTGCTGGCTCCACGGCATAAAAATCATGGTGGGAGGGCAGAGCTGAGCAAAGATGCTTAGCTCATGGTGGCTAGGAAGCAGAGCAGAAGAAGAGTTTCAGAGTGAAAGAAATGTAGGGCCAGACGTAGACCCCAAGGTTATGGGGTATACCTGGATACCCAGATACGCCTGGAAGTGTATCCCGCCAATCCCCTGGTCAGATTCCAAAGCCAGTGAAATTGAAACTCCACACTAGGGGCTGGGGATTTAGCTCAGCGGCAAAAGCGCTTGCCTGGCATGTGCAAGGTCGTGAGTTCGGTTCCTGGTACCGGAGAAAAACCAAAAAAAAAAAAAAAAAAAAAAAAAAAGAAACTCCACACTAACTACTACATCATTTAACATGATATGTATTTTATGTACATACCATGTATTTATTTTATTTTTCTATCTCTTTAAACTCCATGAGGGACTTTTGCACCTCTCCCTCATTGCTATATCCCCAGCATTTAGCAAAGTTTTTGACTCATAGTAAGTGCTCAGTAAATATATGTCAAATTTAAGAATGAGTCTAGTTAGCCTAATGTCCTCTTATATAAGACAGGAAGGTGAGATTTGAAGAGGGGAATCAACTTTCCTGTAATGATGTGATAAAGAAGAGCGTGTCATTTACTTGCTTTCTGTCAGGGAACAATGCCATCCATATGTTGATTAGTCACTTTAAGGATTATCCATAACATATTAGAAACTTCTATTGTTATTTTTTTCTGATTCCCTTTTTAAATCAGTCCAAGGCCAAATACTCTAACCCAAGTATTTTCAACATAGAAGAATTATTTTTAATTTTTGCCATAATAAATATACATTGAGAATGCATATTAGACATTGAAATAAATTAGATTACTTTCAAAGACCACTTCTTAATGACTTACTTGTAAGTAATTAACTCTCATATAGGAAATAGGGTTTATATTTGATTTTCTGCAAAGATTTGGCACTTCATCACACTATATCCATGCCCAACATTTTTTGGCATTTAACCATATTTCTTAAGAAATTTCTGCTGCTGTCATCTTAAATTTTTACTTATATGTCTTAGATTTTGTCAAATACCTTCCCTAGCATAATTGTACACTCTTTTGCTTTTCATTTGGTATTATGGTGAAATATGTTGGTTAATGTTTGAATGTCAACCCCACTTTACATTCCTGAGGAAAACCCTTTCGTCATGAAGAATTATTCTTTTTATGCGTATTACTGGATTCAATTTGTTAAAATTTTTGAAGTATTTTTGTGTATATATTCACGAAGAATATTGGTCTGTTTTGTTTTCTTATAATCTTTTTGGTTTTGTTGTCAGGATAATGTTGGCCTCATCTCACTCTTGGGAAGCATTTCTTCCTTTTCTGTTTTCTATAACAATTGTTTCTTAACTGTTGGGTAAGAATTTATCATTGAAGCCATCAGGGCCTGAAATTGTAAAGGTTTTGAACTTAGAAATTCAACTTCATTAATAGTAATAAGGTTATTTGGCTTATCTGTTTCTTGGGTGTGCTGGTAGCTTGTGTCTTTCAAAGATTTGTGCATTTCATCTATGAGATGGATCTTTATCTGGGTATAGTGACATGTATCTGTAATCCCAGCACTCTAGGAGGCTAAGGTTGGAGGATCAGATTGATGAATTTAGCAACTTAGGGAGACCCTGTCTCAAAAAATAAAAAAGGGTTGGGAAGGTGGGGAGGTAACTCAGTGCAAAGGCTCTGTATTCAGGTCTCAGTACTGAAAAAAAAGGCATTCAAATGGTTATGTTGTGTTTCCAGGTTTTGATTCTAAATTGTATTTCTTTTTGTTGCTTTCCTTAGTATATGTTTATAATACATAATAACATTGCACTGATCTGATGCATATTTTTCACATCCTGCTGGGCAGTTGTGTATCTTTTAAGAAGTGCCAGTTAAGATATTTTTGTCCATTAAAAAATAAACTGTTCTAAATTTATAGGAGTATACAGAGAAGAGTTTCCATACAACTTTTCATCCAGTTTTTCCCTAATATTTGTGTTGTTGTTTTACAGTGCTGAGGATCCAACCAGGGCCTCGTGCATGCTAGGAAAGCACCCTACCTCAGGCTCCTCCCCCACCTTACAGTAATATCCTTCTATAACCATGATACATAGTCAAAGCTAAGATGCTAACATTGATGTTTTTATTATCTATGGATGCTATTCAGGTTTTGCCACTATTTCCATGAATGTCTTTTTTTTTAATAATTAAATTTTTATTTTAGAACCCTTTTAGGTATGTAGAATTACCACAAAGTACAGATACTTACCTTGTATACCCCATGCCCAATTTCTTCTGTTACTGGCTTCTTATCATAGTATGTTGGTTGTTACGATAATTGAAACTATTATAAATTATCATTAGCCAAAGTCCGTGTTTCATTCAGATTTTCTTAGATTTTGCTTTATATGCCTTTTCTATTCTAGAATCCCATCCATGCAACCATACTACATTTAGTAATTGTGCTTCTTTAGGGTTCTCCTTTTTTTTCTTTTCTTTTCTTTTCTTTTTTTTGGTGACCTGGGTAGTTTACATGTCAAGTATTTTGTAGAATAGCCCTTGACTAGGAAGTCAGGTGTTTTTTCTCATGATTAGACTGGGTTGTTCCCGTAACAAGTCTATTGTACTTAGTCTTCTTGTCTTTCTTTTCTCTATGACAGTTTCTCAGACTTTCCTTTATTAAAATCACCTTGCCTACTCATTGTAGATGTTAATTTTGATCATTTGGTTCAGGTAGTATGTATTTCCCTGGTTTGTCCATTATGAAATACCCTTTCTTTTTTTTTTTTTTTTTTT